CAACCATGCTTCACTGATCCATTTAAAGCAGGGGTGGGGAACCTCCGGCCCCCGGGCCGTATACGGCCCGCGAGACCATTTGGTACGGCCCTCGAGGTCATTTATAAACACACACAAAAAAGAAAAAAATTAAAGAAATCTAGACCGCAAAATAATTAAACAAGCGAGTGCCTGTTTTTCCTGGCCACGGTCAGGGTCCTTGAACACAACATGAGCCTAACATGTCATCACGTGGTATATGTCTCGTCTGACAGGGGTGCAGTTCTGACGGAGAGCACCAGAATGTTGCTCCGGCACTTCAGAAATTGCAGTACCCATAAGGAGCCGTACACATGCCACAGTTTCTGCGTGGCTGTGTCTTTAGTTGAAAGCCCAGTGGCGATCTGTTCATATGTCATACTGATCCTACAGTCAATAACTTTGTTGTTATTAGCATCTGGTTAGCTAGCTATGCTAACGAATATAAGAAGCTTTTTCTACAACCAATGAGGTAAAGGCACATCTTTATATGATCATTATAGTTGTAAAAAAATAAGAGAATAAAGTAAACAGGTATAAAATACTATATGACAGTAAAAAAAAGTTGTTATTAATAAACAAGAATACACTTTAAAAGGGGAGTGATTTGTAAAATATCCATAAAGAAAAAGTAAATCTGCTTAGAGTTCTGTTTCATATGGGTGTTGAGAGATGTATCCATATATCTTAATGTTGCTATCAAAGTGCACCAGATTGATGCTTTTAACTTCAACATTTAAAAATCTTCCCGGGGAGCATGCCCCCGGACCCCCCTAGAAGAGGTTAGGTCCCCCCCCACTTAAATCATGTTCACATGGATAGGAAAATAAATACATTTGCACACATATTGTGTCCATATCTTTCTGTTTTGGTGGTCATGCCACAACCGTGCACGTGCATGCATGTGCGAGTCATGGTAAGATATCTGGATTAAGAGGTTGCTTTTTCTTTGCACAGCATGAAAGAAAGGCCAAATGAATGGGCTGTGATTTTAGTATTTTTAAGCAGAGGTCAATAATTTGTACGGCCCTAGGAGGATGTTGAAAAATGTAAATGGCCCTTGAGAGGAAAAAGGTTCCCCACCCCTGATTTAAAAGTTGTTGTTTGTATTTCTGGTGAGTGCTTTTGCACTTTCCGATTGCTCTCGTAGTCTCACTGTCAGTTAATCTCACTGGTTTCCACTGAGATGATCAATCGTATACTGAAACGTATCCAGTTTATTGTGAAATATGTCACCTATCACATTACTGAACCGTCGTCTGAGCCATTGCATATACTGATTGTGGAAATAGCCATTTTGTAGAGCAACATATAAGAAAGAAGCACTTACTAATTATTGGATAAATGATTGACTGAAAGTATTAGGAAGTGGATGACATTTTTATGGTATTGATGGGTAAATTAGATTACCTTTACTACACAAAGGCTCATATTGGAGGTGGAGGATGTGTGCTGTGTTTCCCTAACTTCCCCCTGCCCTAAACTGTAACTACAATAACTTTTCTTTAAAAGAAACATCGTCTTCATTTTTGAATATGTAGGGAATCAATGAGTTGTACTGACATTTTTCTTAAGCCCCTCCGTGTGGATAATATTATCTCTAAAGACCAAAGTGCGACTTGCATTTTGCTCCTTCAGGGAAGTACTTGATTTCCTCTTCCTCCTGTGTTGTGTTCATATCTACAAATGACTTCTTCAGATAATAATGATTTGAAATGTTGAGCATCATGTTTGAGTCTTCATGTCACCCTCTCTCGTTGATTTATTGCCAACATTTGGACTTTCTGCCTTTCTTCTCTTAGATCAACAGAGACTTCTTAGCCATTTCTGCTGTGTAAATAGATTCCCAGACATTTTAAAGAGCATTTGGCTCAGAAAGGTTGCATGCATATGAATGTATGAAATAAACAGAAGGCACCAAAAGCCCCCCAGTGTTCCTCGGGCTCCTGCGTAGACCCCTATTTGCCAAGAATCGTGTGTTCTAAACAGCATAAACACCACTTTACTTGAAGTCTTACCTATTTAATATTCTACTAAGATCTACAGGGGTAGTTTTCAGACAGGGCCTGTACCACTTCTCTCCTGTAAGTGCCTTCTTTCACATAGGATCGAGTGATAGGCATGCAGGTCCCGTTTCAAAATGCAGTTAGCAGTCGTCACCTGGCACTAATAAGCACACTGCATTGTGGTAACAACAACACGCGTCACCCTGGGGAGCATGCCGGCCAAAAATAACAACTTTTCTTGCGGCTACTACGTCCTTTTAATATCTTAATTTCTTGTATCTATCCTCTTTTTCACCAAACTTGTAAATGGTATGATGAACTATATGAGATTTTATGTGTATACGATGTGCATGTAACATGTAGAATAGGGTGTTTTTAATGAAACCTTTTTTCGGATATCCATCCAGGATGTTTGGCACAGAAATATGATGCACTGATGCATTGAATCATGTTGCCAAAAATGAACTCTGTTATATGAAGAAACACTGACTTCCCTCGATCCAGTTCTAACAAAAATTCACTTCCGGTCGTAAATGTTTACAACATACTGACAACACGCGCCCGCTAATTCTAGCATCACCACTGCCTACAAAGCATCAACAACTGTGAACTTAATTATATAATCTAGCACATAAAAGCTCACCAGTTTAGAAAACTTGAAAATGTTTTTTGTTTTGTTTTAGAGTTTGATTATGAAGTAAAGGCTGTATAAAGGTCACGCTGACTTGTTGGTCCTTTTCCCACATTTGCTTGCTGTTCATAAGCCTGTGTCGGTAGCCAACTGAAAATGTGATGTAATTCAAAGTCTGAAGAATAACCATGAAGCCATGAAATGATTCCTACTGAATTGTCGTGTCCACTGCTGTAAATGCTTTTTTGGGGACCAGCTGTGGATTTTTTTATTATGAGTTGTGCAATTGTGGCTTCCCTTTCTTTTCTTTTTTTATGACAGATTATGATTTGTCAGTGGTTTTTTGTGACCTTGTGTTTTTGGCTGAATCCACATTAAACCTGTATTGAATCATTTAGTTGGGTTTTTGATAGTACACATACACATGAGGGTGAGGAGGATTGGACTGTAGGCCTCCATCTTGTGCAGTGAATCACATGCTTCATAAACCTGGTCAGTTGTTTGTAAACTGTAGATTGGTTATTTCTGTACATGAGACAAAATAAAAAATAAATGTGTTCCCACGGTCAGTCAGCGTGTGTTTTGTTACTTTATTTTAGAAATACTTAAAGGTAGGGTAGGTAAGTTTGAGAAACCGGCTCGAGATACACTTTTTGTTATATTCCATGGAATGCTCTTAACATCCCGATAGCAATGAATATCTTAAGTGCTTTGACAAAAAATCCATACAAAATTTCATCTGTAATACTGTAAAAAGCACGACCAATCATTTTAGCCGGCCCGGCTAAAATAACTGGATGGCCTACCTGCCTGTCAGCCTTCCATCTGTGCACAGACTTATCTCGTGCCCTCATTGGTCATGTGCGCGTTCGTGTGTGTTGGAGGGGCTCTATAAGGAAGTGGCAGATTTTCTCCGGTTGTGTATTTTCAAATTCTAGCGATCTCGAGCCGGTTTCTCAAACTTACCTACCCCACCTTTAAGTTTTGTGTTGAAACATTGAAACATAAGGAAAGCACGAAACAACACATCTATGTAAGGATAGACAAATAAGGACAAAGTAAATACTAAACAAACATTTTAATCAACAATAGGTCAAAGGCTAAGAGATATTGATAAGAATATTGAACGGGAGTATATAACAGTGCTTTATAAAAAATCATAACACAATTGATTTATTGAAATCAATAGAAAATTCTAATTAATATAAATTCAAATTGAAACTAGGAGCAATTAAACACAAAATGACTAAGCAAGCAGTATTACATTTGTTTATAGCCTATCAACTCTGGATTGCTTGTGAATTGCCCCTGGGGATGAGCCAAGTTTGATAGAATAACATCATGATTTATTTAAATCTGTAAAAAAGTCATTAATATAAAAAAAGTATGTATTACCCTTAATACGGTGCTTATGTACAGTGATTGAGTAAATTAAGACAGGGTTACTTTATACCATTACCTTTACATGTGATGCTCATAAAGTTATACATTAAAAAAGAGAAAGACAAGATGCACAAGTCTTTTTCTTCCCATATCCGGTATTTCCCCTTTATGATCAGGCTATTCATTGACATGCAGAGGTCCATCTCTTTGGAAAAGAGCTACATATCATAGATTATTAAACAACAGACCAAAGCTCAATTTACAAACAAAACATGTTGTGTTGATTATATATGTCTTGCATTTTATGTATAACTGCTTAGCAGAGGTGGGAAGTATCTAAGTACATTTACTCAATTAATGTACTTAAGTACAATTTTGAGATACCATTTTATGCTGCTTTGTACTTCCATTCCACTACAATTAAGAGGTAAATTGTGTACTTTTACTCCATTAAATGTATTTAATACGTATAGTTACTTTGCAGATCTGGATTAATGATGTGAAATATAATCAAGTCTTAAATCAGACTTTAGTTACACTTGGAGTAAATTCACAAGCTACCCTGCAGGATACAAAGTCATTAAAACTAGCTGCACCTTTACCAGCTTTGATAACACTTTAATGATCAATAATTATAATCAAAACATATTATATATATTATTCTGAAATGGATCTGCCAAATTAGTACTTTTACGTTTGGTACTTTAAGTATATTTTGATGCTAATACTTTTTTACTTTTACTTGAGTAACATTTTGAATGCAGGACTTTTACTTGTAACAGAGTATTCCTACACTCTGGTACTTGTACTTTTTTTTTAACCTCTCCTGTATGATGTTCAAACTTCTTCTTAAACTACAACTGTTTTTTATACTTGTATATGTGCAAACAAATAAATAAAACCACGTATTCCAGGGGATTTAAAGGTGGTGTAAACAAGTGCAGTGTAATATCCCTTTAACACAAAACTGCACAGTCACGTGTGAGTGTGTCATGTGATTAATTAATTGTGAATCAAACACAGCTCTAGTCTGTCCTTTGTACTCTGAATGTTTGTGCAGCCTATGCATACGACATATATTAACGAGGTGACTCTTTGCTCTGAACCTACCAGGTAAGACAAAAACCCTACCGCTGTCTGTTAACCGCTCCAAGTCATTCACCGGCTAGCTTTAATCCTGTTAGCCACCTAGCATGCTAAGCTAACTTGTTTTTATCATAGGCTGTATATGTATTTTTCTAGCTACATATCTGATGTTAGCTCGTTAAACTGTTACCGATAGCGAGATATTTCTAGTGTCAAGTAGTTATATGTTAAGCTCTATTTTGTATATATACTGTTGAGTATTTTAACGCAGAATGATAGTGAATAATTGTGTTTTTTGGTTGTTTTACAGGTTGTAAGAAGAGTATGCTGCATAGTGCTGTTTTTTAAATACTGAACTCCTTCTGCCTGTCTTTCAGTCCTCTGCTAATAATGGTAAAGTACTCTCACTACTATATTTATAATAATTATATATTAGATAAAGTGGTGGACAGTAACTAAATACATTTACTCAAGTACTGTACTAATTATATTATTCTTTACTTGAGCATTTTCCACTCTCTACTACCTTATACTTGTACTCTACTACATCTACATTTATCTTATAGCTTTAGTAACTGTAAAGAGTCAAATTAGAAATGCAAAATATAATTGACAAACATCATTTGGTGTATTATTTTCAACGGTAAAGATGGGACTTAAAGGTGAGGTATGTAATTTATTTCAGAAACATTTTTTGTTATATTCCATGGAATGCTCTTAACATCCCGATAGCAATTAATATATTAAATGCTTTGACAACAAATACATACAAAAATGTCATCTGTGGAAGCCGTAGTACTGTAAAAAGCACGACCAATCATTTTAACCGGCCCGGCTAAAATAACTGGATGGCCTACCTGCCTGTCAGCCTTCCATCTGTGCACAAACTTATCTCGTGCCCTCATTGGTCATGTGCGCGTTCGTGTGTGTTGGAGGAGGGGTTCTTTAAGGAAGTCTGAAGGAAGAGGCAGATTTTTTTCGGCTGCGTAGTTTCAAATTCTAGCGCACTCGAGCTGGTTTCTCCAAAATTACATACCCCACCTTTAATTGATTCTTAACATAAATATCCAAGCTAGCAGTAATATAAAGCTGCAAAATCACTTCAATTAATGAATAAAGTGATGTTATCAATTATTAATCAATATTTATTATTGCATATTATAAACTACATATACCCTGAATCTACACATGCTTACCTTTTAAATGTTTATATTTTGATGCTGATACTTTACCTTGTTACTGTTTTATTGTTGATTCTTTTGCTTTTGTGCAAAAGTAAAAGAGTCAAAATCAATAACCAAGCATAAACAGCAGGTTATTTCATCCTTATAAAACCCCATTGCCCAACTGGTTCACATACCTGATTAAGCTCATGACACAGTAAAGGTGTTTCACTTTCGTTCTTTTTAAGGTGTGTTTCAATCAGATGCTGCTACATTTCTACAGCTGTATTTAAACAGATAACTCAACATTTGTGCAGTTTTTGCTGATGAGATTTAAAGCTCCCATGTCATGCTTTTCCGGTTATTACCCGTCCCCTTGTGTGTTATGAAGGTTTTTATGCATGTAAACGGTGTGCAGAGTCAAACCCCTCAAAGTACACCCTGTAGCGAGTAAAACTCTAACACAGAAAATACCTCCCCAAAACGCCTCGTTGGAGATACGTCACTGGCCATTTGAGTCTTCCATTTCGTTCCGGGTACGGCATGATGTCAAGCGGTACCCGGAACGAAATGGACCAATCCCGAAGAGCCGTTACGTTACGTCCGCGGAGCCGTTACGTTAAGCCCCCGCTGATTGGTCCAAATTGACCGATCCACGGACTTCCTCACACACACATCTGTGTGCAGGGAGCAGGCAGCTCTGCTGATTTCTCCTCCCTGGCTGCAGGCTGATAACAGACAGTTGGGATCGCGGCAAAATTCTCTCTGCAGACCCATTCTCACAGCGTTTATCAACCTTTTTCTTACTCAATATCAAGCCACACTTATTGTTTTTACTTCGGATGTGAGTTTGTGTGTGCTCAGGATGAGTTTGGCTGTGTTTCGCTATGTATCCTAAACAAGGAAGCAACACCTCCACGGAGCTCAGCGCGATTCACAACGTCCCGACCAATCAGAGCACACTGTGCTCACAGGGAGGGTGGGGGCTGGAGCTTTGGGTGCTACAACGAGCCGTTAAAGGCAGATAGTGAAATTCAGTGAATACAAGTAGTTTACAGAGATGCTGTATGAGAAACCAATGTGAGTTTGGAAAAATGCACAATATAAATCTATTTTAGTAGACCTCAACAATGGAATTATGATCAGTGGAAATGGCCATGACACCTCTCCTTTAACAATCCAGTTAAAAATAATGATCTGTTTTCATGAATCTTAATCAGCTTACATTTCTATAATGCAAAATAATCATTTAGTCTTCTCGAATTGCACAAGATTCTGCTTATCAGAAATGGTGACTCAATCGACTCGTTTTAAACACAATGTGCTCACTCGATAAACATACAACAGCTGCAGCGATTGGTCAATTTATTGATTATTCAATCAAGAAAAAATAAACCAGCAGCTGTTTGGATAATCAATTCATTGTTTCATACATTTTTACAGCAAAAAAATTCTAAACCATCTCTGATTCCAGCTTTTAAAATAAAACAATTTTTTGTGTCAGTTATGACAGAAAAGTACATGTATTTTTCACCTCAATGAAGAAAATAATCATTAATTGCATCTCTAAAATCTACAAAATGAGTTATTTTCCGCTGAAGGGAAAAACACATTTCATTAAGATACGAGTGCTTTACATAAAAATTCAAAGGACATGTTCATTAGATTAGGGAAGTTTTTTTTTAATGAGTAAGAATTCCTGCTACACATAATTCTATCTTTCTTACATTTCTTCACAAAGTTTAAGTTTCTCACAAAACAATATAAAAAACACAGAAACTGAAGATTAAATAGACGTTGTTGGCAATAGTTCATGATCTATAGTGGTATGTATAACGGCCCTTTCCTCTCCTGTTTGTGTTTAGATGCTGCAGCTCAGGATCCTGGTCCTGGCTCTGCTGGGCCTGAGCTCTGCGCTGGTCTGTCCGGATGGAGGCATGTGTGAAGACAACGACACCTGCTGCATGAACGTTGTGGGCGGATACGGGTGCTGTGCACTACCACACGTGAGTTACTTTTCAGTCACACAGGTTGAGCTATTAAAGCCAACCTCTTAGAGATGTCCCGCCCCTTAGCCTATCACGTGCAATGTTTTGAAATGCTAGCCAATATAAGCGCGAGTCCTGCATTTTTATGTCATGGCACAGAAGTAAACAAAGGAGTCCAATGGAGGTGTTTCAGGCAGGAGGGGGGGGCTGGGGTGTTGGAGAGAAACTCCCTCTGGAAGGAATGCAGGGATTTTAGCCTTTGCAGACCATTTACATGCACAAAAACTATATAACACACTACAGGAAAGGGAAAACTCAATAGCATAATAGGGCCCCTTTTTCAAATGTATGTATTGGTGGTCACTCAGTAATGGACTTATTGCTGATGCAGTCAAAAAATGTAAGTAACTTTTTTGCCATTTGAACAGGTACAATATTGTGATATTTGTGTGGCCGAAACTAATGATAACTGATTCGTATTATTGTCTAAAGATTTCGTAAAATACTAAGAAAATATCCATCAAAGTCATTTAACAGCTTTATAGATTTAAATTTCCTTTTTTTTGTCCAAAACCCTAATATATTCACTTTAAAATGATATAAAACACAGAAAAGTGATTGATGGTAATTATATTTTTAAAACACTCCATTTGAATCACTACATGCAAAAGAAGATGGTGAGAAATTACATACTTACAGTATTTCCTGTTTTCACTTCCCAGAATGGAAGCAAATCTACTTTTAGAATCTGAATGTTATGATATTTGGGCAATTGAAATTCAAACCACCTCTTCCAGATATACTGTGACCTAGACTCTTTAGACTAGACTCGGGTTGGTTTTTCAGAGTCTATATTAAGCTTTTAAAGAATTGAAGGTGTGTACAAGGTGAACTCTTGGTCCTACACATCATTCTCAGCTGCTGTGTGTTTCATTAAACCTTAATCATGTTTCCCCATCTCTGTTTTGATTCGGCCTGCAGGCTGAGTGTTGTTCAGACCACCTCCACTGCTGCTTTGAGGCGACTGTTTGTGATCTGGTTCACTCCAAGTGTGTTAATAAGACAGTTTCTCTGCCCTGGATGAGACGACTTCCTGCCAAACAAGCCCTACTCGTCCCTCGGGTAGATGTAACAAAGGTATTTGAACACGAGATGTTATTTTGTAGCAAGTTCGAGTTGTTGATCAACCTTTGCACTACAATCTATGGAGCATAACATTCTGTTAGCCTTTGATTGTTTTCTAGACTTCCTCCTTTCATATATATATTTTTGAAAAATGTAGGTTAAATGACACTTTACACACAATAAGATCTGTTTCATTTGCACTCCATTTGTTATAAGAGAAGGAATGCTAGTATATACATTTGCAGTCCTGCCATTGATGTGCTGTTTTCTTTTTTCCATTCATTGGTATGCATGGGCTGTAATGTGTGATGTCGCAGATCGAGGAGGGGGTGAAAGCCATCACTTGTCCGGACGAGGTGTCTGAATGTCCCGATGACACCACGTGCTGCCAGCTTCTCGACGACTCCTGGGGCTGCTGTCCGTTAGCTAAGGTGATATACACCAGCTCACAAACACTGTCGCCTCAAACTGCTAGCTCAGCACAAACCCTGCACCAAGGAACATATCACATGGTCTGATGGTCAGTGTTAGATTCTGCCTGCTGCTCTTCTAGCTGCATAAGAAAATGCTATATTATCCAAGACTACATTTCTAAGTTATGTTAAAGTTTTTTGAACAGTTGAATTACATTGAAGACAGTTGAAACCCATTAGTAGGCATATACAGAATCCAGTAAAATGACCCGAAAATATATATTTGCTTTATTATAGCGGTTATTCCGTTAGTGTTCGTGGCTCTCTGAATGTATTTTCTCCTCTTCTACAGGCGGTGTGTTGTGAGGATAAACGCCACTGTTGCCCTGAGAACACAAAGTGTGATATTGCTCACTCAAAGTGTCAGTCTTCCTCACTGGAGTCCTTCCCCATGCTGGAGAAACTGCCCGCCAGGAGGAGGAAGAATAATCCAGGTGGGCAGTCCCTCATGTAGAGGGGCATGGGTTCTACTGAAAATCCAATGTGAAAAATAGATTTCCTATTATGTTTTTTTGGGCTTTTCCCTTTTCCCATTTACAAAAAAGTAACTTGCATTTTTGACTGAATCAGCATAAGTTCATTACTGAGTGACAACCAATACTTACATTTTCAAAGGGGCCCTATTATGCTGTTGGGGTTTTCCCTTTCCTGTAAAAGTCAAAGTCAGCTTTATTGTCAATAATTCTACATGTTGTACATCCAGAAATATCGTTTCCCGCAGTCCTACAGTGTGACATATATACATTAAACAAAACAAAGGGCCTAGATAACCGGGGTATACAGTTTATAATGTTAATAATATAATTTAAGTGTTTAAAGTACAGTTACAGTGCAGTAGCAGCGGAGATGGGCAGAAAAGTGAGTTAGGGGGTTAGAGTCCAGGACCATTTGGGGCAGGGGAGAAAGGTCGGAGGCAGGGTGGAGAGTTCAGGGGAGAGAGATGTCAGAGGGCGGAAGAGATGGTGTGCTATTTAGGTTTTTGTGCATGTAAATGATCTGCAAAGGTAAAAATCCAAGACTTCCCTTCAGAGAGAGTTTCTCTGCCACATACCTGAAACACCTACATTGGACTCCTTGTGTTTTACTTCTGTAACATTGCTTATATACATCACTATGTAACACGTATGCTTCTATTGGCTAGCGCTCTAACACATTGTCTGGATAGGCTGGAAAGGGTCTTTATGTATGCTGATGACACTGTTTCTTTCTTTATGTTTGTGTAGCTCCTGTGGCCGATGCAGTGACATGTCCTGGTGGAAAAAGCAGCTGCCCAGAAAGTTATACGTGTTGCCAGCTTCCCTCCGGAGACTACGGCTGCTGCCCCTACCCACAGGTACTTATTAGTCTGTCGAAGATATATTTGACGATTTGTTGATAAATTGATTAGTTGCTCGATAGAAAGGAATCGCCAAAAGTTCAGTTGTTTGATTAAGTCATGCCAAATATTCAGCTTCTCAAATGTGAGGTTTGCTGTTTCATTTTAGTATACATTTTCCCATGGTATTTTACACTATTGTTGATATTTTAGTGACCAGATTTTAGACTGTTAATCAAGAAAATGTGTCAGTTGCTGTAAATATGCTTTTGTAAAGATTTATTTTTGTTAGGTGTTCTTTACTGTATGTTTCAGCTCTTGGTAATTACTGTATACATAAACATTTGTCATTGTTGTCATTGTACATACACACAGTTTAGTAAGGGCTTTGGAGAATGCCACTGCAGCTTATTTATGTAATAAGATGAAGTGTTGCTGATGAAGTGACAATTGTTTAAAAAAGGCAGGATAAGACATCATACATTTTCAATACATAATACTTGAATAACAAAAAAGTATGTATGATGCACAAGTAGATAAGATTAGTAGCATTTACAACACATGTAAAAGCACCTACACACTGCTCAGCCGACATCATCTTTGTTTGCAGCAGCAAAAATGAATGTTTTACTGTTTAATTCCAGAGATTGCTATCCCATCTCATCACAGCTCTCCTTAGCTTAACAAGAAAAAGTATTTTTCTAGTTAAACATGCTGTGATTTTCTCACTGACTCTGTGTCTGATGCCTAAATCACGTGCAGGCGAGTTGCTGCAGCGATCATCTCCACTGTTGCCCTAGCAACACAATATGTGACCTGGAGCATGGGGTCTGCCAGTCTGGTGAGACGAGCGTTCCCATGCTGAAGAAGATTGCTGCTGTACCTAATGACGGTGAGCAGTTGGATATTTTTTAATCGCTAGTTTGAGATTAGCAAACACGTATTGATCATCTGTCTGGTCTGGCTTCTCGCCCTTTCAGTTCCATGTGAAGACCAGATGTTGTCTTGTCCTGACCAGACCACATGCTGCATGGTGTCCAACGGCACATATGGCTGCTGTCCTATGCCTGATGTGAGTAACCTGAACTAACCGGGACCACAACCAGAATCCGCAAGACCTAATCTCTTTATTTTGTTAGGATATCTGCAGGAGTCTGGTTTACAAAAGTGTGTGTGTGTGGAAGCTGTGGGGAAAGCTGTCAATATAAATACTAATCATTGAGCTGAAATTAGTTTTGGGAGCAAGAGCTCACCATTATGAGGTACTTTTCATTTATATTTAAAATATATGATTTGTCTGTATTTCTCAATAATTAAAGCTAAGAAAAAGGTAATAGAGACAGTTGAAGGATCCCCTCATCTGTTGATCATTTAGGTGCATTGATTACCTATCAATAGGTTATTAAATATGCAGAATTAGGTAAATAAAATGAAAAATAGCAGTACAATTAAAGGCAAAATATAACGGAAAAAATAAAGGACAGCTTCCATATTCATAACTTGATAACATGTTGGACATTTAAGAAAGGTTTAAAAATGTTTGGCCCCAGAGTTCACTCATTTGTGCCTCTGAATACTGTTGAACAAATTAGTCAAATGTAAGCTAGTACAGGTTGTATTGATGTGAAGTTGCACATAAATGAGGACTACATTTTCATAGCAGTCATTATTGGGTGTCAACTTTATTGTCTTCTCCTGTTCCAGGCTGTCTGCTGCACAGATCACATCCACTGTTGTCCTGAAGGCACTGCCTGTGACCTGGTCCACAGCGCCTGTGTGGAGGCCCGGGGAGAGAGCACCCTGTCCCTGAAGATCACCGCTGCAGGGACACCGCTGGTGGAAGTCCAGAGCAAAGGTCAGAGAGGGACGGTTTTCATAAAGAGAGGAAATCCTTCTTAAAGCAGAACTTGCTTTCCACACACCGAGACCTTCTTGATCTTAAGTATTTCCTTTCCTGTAGTGTGTTATATAGATTTGTGTACATGTAAATAGTCTACAAAGGCTAAAAATCCCTAAGTTCTCTAAGAAAAATGCGTGGAGTATTTATTTTATTTTATCTTAAAAGTATCCACAAAAAACTCCAGGTATCCATACACATGTTATCAAGAGACACATTGTTTTGTTCATCTAACTGCAGACATTTATCTGCAAGACTGCAATGAATTAAAACATAGTGCATTGTGGGCAATGTAGGAAGCAGGTGTCAAAAAGTAAGAAGATTGCGTCAAATTAAAAGATGATATCTCTGTCTATTTTGCTGCATAGATTTGATTCGTTCTTTAAAAGCATCATTCCAGCATGAGTCCAACGATGGTGTCATCGGAATGCAATGCTCCTCTTTTTAGATAATCTTTTCCCGCGTGTGCACTGATAAGGATGTTTGTGTTCCAGTCGGTGCTGTTCCCTGCAACAGCTCTGTGGCCTGCGCTGAGGGGTCCACCTGCTGCAAATTGTCAGAGGGAGGATGGGCCTGTTGTCCGTTACCTAAGGTACCCACATACTGATGTGTGTGAGTCACACACACTGACTGTGTTCGGCTTTCTGTTCGGCTTTCTGTCCAGCTGCACTGAATTACTCGACACACAACTCAATTCCAGAGATCCGGTTGGAAAAAAAATGCCTTTTCCCCTGATCTCGGCTCAGTAAAATTGTATTGTTGCAACATTCTCGTGTAGAAATATCAAGTCATTCCGCTTATATTCAGACTTTTTGGGGAGTTTTAGCACATATTTCGGTCTTATTGTCCAGAAGTATAGTTCAACTAGGAGGAAAAAGTTGACAGTTTTCCTTCAAAGACGCCAATTATTTGATTTTTTTTCACAGGATTCAAAAGCAACAACTCATGACACCTAAATCCCAGAGGATAGCACTTAAAGGTCCCATGTCATGCTTTTCCGGTTATTACCCGTCCCCTTGTGTGTTATGAAGGTTTTTCTGCATGTAAACGGTCTGCAAAGTCACAAACCCAAAGTACACCATGTAGCGAGTAAAACTCTGACACAGAAAAGACCTGTCTATGCTGCCCCAGAACGCCTCGTTGGAGATTTCTCATTTTCTTCCTGGTACTAAGTGACGCAACGACAACCCAAATGGACCAATCCGTGGAGCCGTTACGTTACGTCCGCGGAGCCGTTAGGTTAACTCCGTGGATTGGTCCAAATGGACCAATCCACGGACTTCCTCACACACACACACTCAATCTTTTCTCAGCTGCAGCTCCGCCGATTTCTCCTCCCTGAGACGGCGGGACGCGGCGAGGCTGTGAGTCGGTGTGTGAGCACACACAAACTGCCAGCCAGGCTGCGGGTGTGTGTGTTCGGGCTGGGTTTCGCTGTGTCTCGCTTTCTCGCAGACGGCCACTGGGCCTCATAGGGAGGGGGGGGCAGGAGCTCCAACAAGCCGTGTAGGACAGAGTGAATACACATACTATACAGAGATGCTGTATGAGAAACCAATGTGAGTTTGGAAAATTGCACAATATAAATCTATTTTAGTAGACCTCAACAATGGAATTATGATCAGTAGAAATGGCCATGACAAAGCATAACTTATAGGGTAACTGTATTCGATTACAATTACATTAAAAAAAAACATTGATTTAAATTAAAGAATACTAGCAGGATTGCAATTTTACAATGCATTAAAAAACAAAACAAAGATCCATATATTATAGGTAGACATAGTACCTGAGTTTTTTGGGGTTAATATTTAGGGTACTTTAATTATTCTTTATTTTATATGAATTGTTGTTGTACATTTTGCTGTGGGTTGCATTTAAGTTCCCTTCTATCTGAGTCAATTTGACAGTTTGATATAATTCACAAACCCAGAATATAAATGAAACGTATGGTACGTATCAGTTGTTTGACTTTATCTTTAAATGCTATTGTGTTCTGTTTGTTTCTCCTCCCTGCAGGCCACGTGCTGTGAGGACCACCTGCACTGCTGTCCCCACGGCACCGTCTGTAACCTGGCAACCTCCACGTGTGACGACCCGTCGGGGGGCACCCTGATGCCCTGGCTCAGCAAACTGCCCGTCTTCCCCTTAGTGAGCGACAACAGCAAATGTGACAAGTCCACATCATGTCCTGGAAAATCCACCTGCTGCAAGACGGAGGCTGGAGGCTGGGCCTGCTGCCCGCTGACGGAGGTAAAAATGGACTCTGGTTATGATGACACTGCTTTTTGTCAGAGTATCTGGAGATTTGTTTGACAAGGTTGTAAACTCGTAAGGCAAGCACAGAAAGAAAATGCTACCTTCCTTACTGCAACATAATTACAACATGCAACATATTCATAGTTTTTATTACATGTATTAACATTCAGATGCTAGTTTATTCGCTTCACCTGTAATACATCCTCCTCCATCAAGGTTATTTTAACTCTTTTAAGTAGTTTTGGGTGCTTTAGTGTGTGATGGAGTGTATGATACATACGTTTAAATCAGGTGTGACTTATAAACTGGCAACTGAGTGAATATATATTTTTTATGTGTGAAATGTTATCATCTATATTCCTTTTTTTACCCGTATTCTTCTGGGGGATCACACAATCCCTTACTAACACGGCTCCTACTACTTGACAAAATATTCTACCATAAATGGTACCAGTTTTTGGATTCCAACTCCCAGTAGAATCACAAATATCAATCTTAAACTTTTTAGACTAAAACTAAATATAGTGAAAATGGATAAAAGCATAACATATTTTTTGATCTGTAAATAAAAAGAATAAAAAATCCTTATCTTGCTTAACTAAAGATAATGTGCTCTCCAAACCTTTAGTGCCATATATTTCACTATAAAACATTAACAACAATCACAGGTTTTCAAACGTTAGAAAAATAAAGCCTAATATAATATGAATATTAAGGTATTTCGCAAGGCTTTATGATGATCTAAAAACAGTATGCCCTCACACACTCACTGGGTGTGTATCCTGTGTTCCTGCCAGGCCACGTGCTGTGAGGACCACCTCCACTGCTGCCCTCAAGGCACAGTCTGCAACCTGGAGGCTGAAACCTGCGACGACCCTGCGGGGGCCACACCCCCCCTCCGCTGGGTGGAGAGGGTCCTGGCTCTGACCTCTGAGGTGGAGGCGGAGAAATGTGACAAGCAGACCATGTGTCCAGGAGGCACCACCTGCTGTAAGAACTACTCTGGGCAGTGGGCCTGCTGCCCCTTACCTCAGGTCAGTGTCTCCTTCTTCACACTGTCAGCGCTTAGTGGGGGGGGCAGGTCACTACTTACTCAAAGGATTTGTTTCTAGACTTAAAATATCACAGCTTAATCATTTAAATACTTAATGATGAAGTCTCAAGGTAGGAATTTAACAAAATCACCCACAGGAGCCAACACAACAACACAATACCAACAAATGAAAAAGAAGTGGTGGAAGGCTACTAAATACTTTTACTTAAGTACTGTACTTGGGTACGTTTTTGAGGTACTTGTACTTACCCAGGTATTCTTTCAGTTTTTTTCCCATTCTGTTCATCTAAGCTGGAAATCATGCTGCATTCATGCCTCTGATTGGCTGATATGAGTGGAAAAAGTGACATAAAGAAGCTTTTTAAATACACATTTTATTATAATGAAATCAACCAGGAAAATTGTGTTTCTGTGTTACGTAACATTTTGTAAAACATTATATCATAACTGGTAAATGAGAATTTATTGATTCTTAAAACAGCAGCTCTTTTGGAACTTTATGACATGTAAAAAATGACACTGATAATGAAATCAGAGACATTGATTACTGGACTATCAAAACAGCTGAGTTTTTGTAAAAATACGAGCAGAAATTATTCAGATCTGCGTGACATTCTTTTACTTCTATGTCATTTTTTGTGGAAGTCACGTTGCATAAAATCCCTTCCATCTGTTGAACTGAGATGTGATGCTTACAGGGATGTCAGGCAGCATTTAACACCCTTTTTATTTTTCTTCTTTCAAGGCCGTGTGCTGTAACGATCATGAGCACTGCTGCCCTAAAGGCTACAAATGTAACGTGGCAGAGCAGACGTGTGATAAGCCCGGCGCCCTCAGCCTGCCCTGGCTGCAGAAGACCCCCGCCCTGCAGAGGGAGCCCAGCCGGGCCGTTTCCGGTTCATCTCCGTCCGCCAGGAACATGTGTGACGCTCAGACCAGCTGCCCCAAAGACACCACCTGCTGCTTCATGGACCGAACACACAAGTGGGGCTGCTGCCCTCTGCCGCAGGTACGTCAACATTAAAGGTCTCCTATTATGCAAAATCCACTTTTTTTATGTCTTTTATACACAAATGTGTGTAAGGGAACTCGCAAAGTGTAAGAAAACAAAACCCTCTCTTTTCCTCCGTACCCAAATATCTAAAAACGTGGGTACAACGGAGCTGATCCAGATTTGCTGCCGATATTACTTAATATCGACAATGCGCATCGTTTTGGTAGTAATATGGTCTTTGTTTACATTAGCAAGCATCGCTAACACTCAGAGCTAACCTGTACTGGAGAGAGTATGTGTAAGAAGCAGGATATAAAAAGGTACTCACCTTGTGGTAAACCCGCGAGAGAGAAAGCATTTGAGCTCCATACAGTACTGTTTCAGAAATAATCCTTGATGTGGTTTTGCACATGATATGGCGTTTAATCACGGCAGCATTTAGCTGAGTATCTGGGTAGAATTCTCCTGCATGAGCTCGTGCCCCTCTTTTTTCTTTGGTTTAAAGCTAAGGACCCAGAATCTGCCCTTTTCTAACAGGGCTGAATAGAGGGGTATGAGGCATGGCTAGAATTGGTGATCTGTATGGTATTTTGAGCAAAACACATCATAGACATATTTATTATATATTTGTATATATCTGAGACCTATAATATATGCCAAGGCAAGGCAAGGCACGTTTATTTATATAGCACCTTTCAACACAAGGCAATTCAAAGTGCTTTACAAAGATGAAAGACATTAAAAAAATGACATTTAAAAACAGTAATTAAAAAGCAAAGGTAATAAAATAAACATTAAAAGAAAAAATACATGGATAAAAGTTACAGTGCAGTTTAAGATATGAATAGTTCAATTAAAAGCAGCGACAAAAAGAAAAGTCTTCAGCCTGGATTTAAAAGTAGTCAGAGTTGCAGCGGACCTGCAGGTTTCTGGGAGTTTGTTCCAGATATTTGGAGCATAATAACTGAGCGCTGCTTCTCCATGTTTAGTTCTGACTCTGGGGACAGAAAGCAGACCAGTCCCTGAAGACCTGAGAGTTCTGGATGGTTCATAATTTAGCAGTAGGTCAGACATGTATTTTGGGCCTAAACCATTCAAAGCTTTATAAACCAGCAACAATATTTTGAAATCTATTCTTTGACACACAGGAAGCCAGTGTAAGGACTTCAGAACAGGAGTGATGTGATCCACTTTCTTAGTGTTAGTGAGGACTCGAGCAGCAGAGTTCTGAATTAGCTGCAGCTTTTAAAAAACATCACCTCAGTTTTATCTTTGTTTAATTGGAGAAAGTTCTGACACATCCAGTCATTCATTTGTTCAATGCACTTGCTCAGTGTTTGAATTGGAGCATAGTCTCCTGGTGAAATGGTTACGTACATTTGTGTGTCATCCGCATGGCTATGGTAACTCTTTTGTTTTGTTTTTCATTATCTGAGCCAGTGGTAGCATGTAGATGTTAAAGAGAAGAGGCCCCAAGATGGAGCCTACTAAAAATAGTATAATAGGAGCTGTTAGCTTGCTTTCTAGTCGGAGTATGTGCAATGACTATTTTTGTTTATTTCCTTTGGAGATAGGAACATTTCAAGCAGTCTTTAAAGCAGCCTCAGATTGAATGCTTATCAGGTGGTGTTCTTTTAGTTATTGAGTATTCAATAACGTTTTCTGTTGTTCAGGCGGTGTGCTGTAAGGATGGAAACCACTGCTGCCCCGGCGGTCACACCTGTGAACCGCACCGCTCCTCCTGCTCCAAGGGACCCAGTGTTGCTATTCCCTGGTTCACCAAACTGAGCTCCCAGACCGAGCTGAGCGCAGTTACAGACGTTAAATGTGACGACAAGAGTAGCTGCGCCTCAGGGACCACCTGCTGCCAGCTGCAGACCGGAGAGTGGGGCTGCTGCCCGCTCGTCAAGGTGTGTTATTCTGTTCATCATTTGCAGGTCATTTAATTACAGTTAAACAAATACACCATACAGTTATGAGGGTGATTAAACATTACTAGATCTTTATGTGAAGAATAAAACAGATATAAGGTGTATGCTGAAGTCTGAGTCTCTGCCTGAATCTGTCCAAATAGCAGTGAAACAAACAACCATCAACTAAATATAATAAAGGACCACAACATCATTAATAAAAGGCAGATAAACAACAACAAAACATATCATCATTGTGAGTCCTATTTCAGTGTTGGTCAAAATAAAGTGTAAAAAAGTCAAACCAATATAACCCAAAAACACAGCTATGATTGGCTGTTAATTAGATGTTAGTGCATATAGTTCATTCACAGTGTGAAGCTCAATTGGGTTTACAAATGCACGAACAAATGCATCAAAGTTAAGTCCTGTGTGTTTAAGCAGTAATCCTTTTGGTCAATTAAAAAAAACCTTTGATACCATTAAGGAAAAAACTAGGGTCAGTGTCTCTTCAGGGATTTTTTAATAAGATGGGACCCTTATGTTTCACGGCATGAGTTAATATAGAGCTTATGAACACACCAACATTTGAAGACAATTTTGGAAATGGGACCATCCGAAGAGCATTTGAACGCAGCATTGACTGGTTTTCAGGATTGGTATTACACCTTACTTTTTAATTAAAAATAAACAATACCAAAACACTTGTTCATTATGTTTGAGAAATCAGTTTGGAAATGTGACAGGCCTTTCTAAATCCTAGCATTATGAACATAGCGATAATATTAGATGTCTATATCAGATAATACATTCTTCTTCTTCTGTGTCCTGCAGGCGGTTTGCTGTGCGGACCAGGAGCACTGCTGTCCTCAGGGCTACTCCTGCAAAATGCAGACTGGAACATGTGAGAAGAAGAACCACAACGTGCTCATCCTCACCCTCCCTCAGAGCAAAGTGGTACAGTCCGAGCCCAGACACCCAGAGGACGACGCAAACGTACCATGTGACAGCACGGGGGAGTTCCACTGCCCAAAGCAGGACACGTGCTGTAAAGTGTCCAACTCAGCGTGGGCCTGCTGCCCCTCAGCCAGGGTACGCTCACACTGCACTCACATGTGCACTGCACATTTCTTTTGTATGAAAAATGTATTTAGTGAGCATGCTTTTATAGTGGGACCACGTCTGGTTCGAGCCTCTGGGGTGTGGATAATGTGACCAGTGAACATTGGGTCACATGATCCAGAGAACCTCTGCAGCTTCCCTGTTTTCTGCCTCGTTAAACATGCTGTGTCCCATTTGTTTGTTTTAGTTTGTTCCAAGTCTAAATATTACTGTTGGGGAACAATGTGTTCTCCACATGCATGGAGGGAAACTAGCAGCAACTCAGATATGATTTTTATATTATAACAATCTATCTATTGACTATAAATATACATTATTAAATGGAAATAATTAAAGCTATTCAGGGTTAAAGTCCTTCAACATATGAAATAAGCCTTCAAAGTTCTTTAAGTTATGGCAGATCATCTCTTAAGCTTGCAATAAATCAAAGAGGCCCTATTATGCCCTTTCCTGTAGTGTGTTATATAGGTTTTTTCCAGAGGGAGTTTCTCTCCCACACATTGTACGTGATGGGCTAAGAGGCGGGACATCTCTAAGCGGTTGACCAATCACACCAGAGCCGGCCAGCTAACCAATCAGAGCAGACTGGGCTCTGGTTTCAGACAGAGGGTGAAAAGAGGTGCTGCAGCACAGGCAGTATGAGAAAAATAAAGAGCTTTTTGAGCATTAAAGCATGGAGACATGTCACAGAAGCGGCACTAAATACAAAAATGAACCTGAAAATCAGCCGGTTTCTTTAAGAAGAAATATCAGGTCTTTAATCCAGGAGGAGCAAGAAGGAGGATCAGGGGGTTTCCATTCTAGTAAAGTTCTGCAACAAGCTTATAAAGATGCATATGCCACTATATCAGTGGTGTGTTTGCCAACAAGAATCAAACTGGTTTGAACTGCTGGTTTTGTTCCCCTGACAGGCGGAGTGCTGCGCTGACTCCAAGCACTGCTGTCCTGCGGGCTTCTTGTGTGACCTGAAGGATGGAGGCTGCGTCCCCCACACCCAGCTGACCTGGGACTTTTTGATCGGGAACAGAAAGAAAGACTTTATCCCACATGGACTTTAATGCCACACAAAGGTGCACTGATCTTCTTCATAACATCCTGCTCATGCTGTCATGGGCAACACTTCCTGTTTTCTTATTCAATGAGGTGTATTTATTACCAACTGTGTGCACTCCCAGGTTTTTTTTTTTTGAGTGGGTGTGGAATTTTAAAATGAAGTAGAAGCACTTTGCTACGGAGCTCAACAGGTGACATGACAGCCTCTCATTCATGTTTTCTATGTCTGTCTATGTTTCATAGTTTCAACTTAGAGTGAAAAACAGTGAGGGGGAGTCCTTTTAATGTTTTTCACCAGGCAGAAAACACTCACTTTCTGGAATTCAACATTTTAATGTGACTATAACAACGAGCAACGTGAGGATTTACTGTCTCTTTTAAGGATAATGTTGCTGTTATTCTGTATTTATCTTATTGTCAGCAAATCCCATGCAAAGATCAAAAACAACAACATGTTAATCCGTCTCAATTGATTTCTACTGAAAGGGATTCAGAAGATTTAAAAAATGGTAGATAGATAAAGTTGGACAGGCTGTTTTCATTTGACTGTTTGAAACTTACCTTTTTAAATTCTGATTCAGCTGTGTTTCCACACATAAACAAGCCTTGATTTTGTTTAGAAAATGTCGAGCTAGTGAAAACATGCTACTTTCTTTATTTAGTTTGTTTCATTGGGCTTTTGTGCTAACTAAATAAAATACAGATGGATAAAGGTTATGGTGGTGATGGACTGGTTACATTGGGGGAAATGTAAATAAAGTTTAAACCTTTTCTTACAAATCAAACATGTCACTTGCGCTCGGGTTGCACATTTTTAAGACCTGGTACCTAGGGATTAAGCGTTATGTTTTTTCCCCTGATAATTTTAGCTTGTGATGGTGTTTTTCATATAAAATATATTACGCAACCTTACGTTAAAATATATTGTTTTAAAGGAAATAGTGTATTTGTTCGGGACTGTTTTCTGTGGCGGATTAATCCACATTTGGTGCTCTAGAGCAGGGGTTCCCAACCTACCGCTGTTGCGCCCCCCCCCACACACACACAAGGGGGGCGGCGCAACAGCGGTAATTAAAGTTTAAAAGTCTCAAAAATGCTACAACTACTGTCACAAACTGGATGAATGTGAAGTATTTTGCTAAAGGAGGATGAAAGCGTAATGAAGGCGCACTATTGGAGTGACGTTGATGGTTATTGGACTCAGGATTAATTCATTTGGATTCCCGCTGTATGAAGAAATTAAAGGACGGCGCAAGTGGAAACAATTCACAAAGGGATCAAACTGTTTAAAACACATGCTCAAAGTAAGCCGGATTATAGCGATGTGTTTATGTGGATTCAAAAGTCGTAAATAATCTACAAAATGGAGGAGACCGATCTGATGGGAGCAACTGTGACAAATAATCTGAAACCGGCATGGACAATGACTATGTTTTTAAAAATGCGCTTATCCAGAAAAGCCTGGTTTGGACACTTTACGGGCAGAAGAAACATTTCTATTAAAAAAAGAATTATACATTTCTGTCTTTTTATGCCTATAATAGCTACTAACTTGAATTTTTATTAAAATGAATCAATTATTTTTTATATTTTAGTGTAATGTAGAGACAAGGCTTTTAGTGACAATCATGTATTGCGTTACAATTATATAAAAAAGTCTAAATATGATATTTGGCCTCAAATCATCTGAGGCCTGGCGCCCCCCCTGCGATCTTTGGAGCCCCCCCAAGGGGGGCGCGCCCCCCAGGTTGGGAACCACTGCTCTAGAGAATATTGGGGGCAGCAGGATAAACAGGAAGTGAGGAAGAAGAGACGAACTAGGGCCCAGATAATCAATTACAATGACACTGAAGTCAGCTGTGAGGATTTGCTAAAAACTTTTGTCAGATTCTGCTCACGTTGGCATGATTTGAAGTAAATTACAGTGGGTGTGCTCATGGTAATAAAGGAACATGTCACCCAGAGCCACAATGTAGCTCATGTATGTGTTTTTGAGGAAGAGGAAGAAAATATTTCAGGCTTTGATACACAAAACCAAAAAACATTACACATTCACTGTTTGGTCTTTTCTTGGGATTTGTTGACTGAAGGATAACATCATCAGTTTGATCCTTTTTTAAACCTGCTTTATTGATTTCATTCCTATATAATTTCTCCATAAAAAGAGAAAGCTAGCCTGAGTGCGGGCAACATTTGATAAGATCTCGTCACATTGGGCTGAAGGTGTTTCTAAGAATAGTAACCTGCCTCTGTACGGGCCCCACTCCGTGCAGAAGCAGCGTTTCCTGCTTCATGTGCTCAATTGTTGACTGTTCTGCTTATCAGTGGGGCAACACACAGATGCACTGCAGCAGCTGTAGATAAATGTTATCGAGTGTTTTCTTGCTTTTGGAGAGAGCTTCCAATTGCTGAAAGATTGTAAAAAATGTTGCTATGGAATTCTGTAATTGGGTGTAGGATTTCACAGAGGATATTTGAAGGGCTTTCTAGGTAATGAGATTATTGTAATTGAATGAATAAATAAAGATGGGAACCAGATTGAACATCATGTCACTTCTTTCAGATACTTGTCTTGGTACAGTTTTTCCCTTTTTTTTTTTTAAGCCTTTCAAAGAAGATTTAACTCCCAGGAAGGGGAAATGAAGTTCTTCCAAATATAAGTTTGGTTGATAATTAAATTCAGCGAGGTCATCCTTGAAGTATTATCACACACGCCCACACTCTTCCTCTGGCCTTGCCCGTCCATATCCTCTTACCCCCCACCCACCCCCTCCCCCGTCTTCCCTAGTCATCAGAAAGTTGTTATGACGACCAGAGTAAAAAACAAGATAGATGGGTAGAGACACAGCTGTGTGTGTGGGATGGGGGCGGGGGGGGTGTCCCACTTTGCTGTGAGCTTGGCAGGCCTGCTTTACTTTATTGTGTGCCCTCTGGTGGTCAGAAACAAACATGGCGGCTCTCCTGCGTGAGTGGAAAACAATGAGCAACACATTCTGCTGGAGCTCTAAATGAGGTCAGATACTGTGAGGCCCCATTGTTAAAGATCTACAGATCGGTTACTTATTAAAGCGCTCCAACACACACTGATGTCTTTGTAGAGTCGTGATATAGTGGAGGAGTGGCTGGGTTCACTTTAAAGGAACTTCAATTCTACTTAAAATACTTTTTTAAAAAGGGAAGGAAGTCCTGCAGGCAGACTTTTCCATGCAGCCTTCTTTAAAACCTGTTCTCATAATTTAAATGCTAATGATTAATGTTAGGGTTTTTCATTACAGGAAGTTCTTTTTGGTTTATTTGATGTGTACAGAATGTTGTTTAGTTAAAAAAAACTTAAACTTACTTTTTACATTATTGATAATATTAAATATGTGTGAATTAATGAGTAACCTGCTAGTTGTAATTGTTTAGTATTACTATGCACAGTGTTGAAAGGAAGGTACTTTTTTGCAAGTTGCAATAAAGTAACCTGCCCAGCAGCAACATTTATGAATGTAAAACTGCAGATAAATATTTTGATAAGTATTTGAGGCTTCCTCTTAACATGAGTTAACCTAGGTGTTCCCCCTTTTACTCGTACTTATGCCAAGTCAAAAGTAAACACACTAATTCTAAAAAAATGATCAGAATAATGTTCAGTGCCAGGTTGGATTTTCACTGAGAAGCACTTATCTATAGGTGCATGTCAAACGATAACCATATTTAGAAAAAAATCACAATAAATATATGAAAAACATTCAATAACATAAACATACCGTGAAAAAGTTCACTGTAAAGAGCGTAATAATAAAGTTTGAGTTTTAACATTTTATTAAAAAAAAATCTATTGTCTCTTTAATCATTCTACATTTGAAATTGTGGTTGATTTATGAATGTGTCCCTCTTCCTCCACCTCCTGATATACCATCACAGAGGAGGGGGGCTTGAGTGAAGTACAACATCCTTCTGGCTCCTCCAATGGTAACAAAATCCCCCTACCAGACATGTCATATTGTGTTTATTTAATCTGTGCAGAAAAAGCAATATAAAGAATAAATACATTAATTTTACTGGAAGTTGCACTTTTTAAGGAGGGCTATTTCCTTCCCCTTGTTTCGTTAAACTTAAGCTAACCAACTGTTGGCTTTACAGCGTTATATTTAACAAATAAACACGAGTGGCATTGATCTTCTAATCTAACTCATACTTCCAAAATGTCAAACCTTTCCACTAAACAGTGAGTCAACAGGAGTAATTTGGGCTTCAGTTCATTCAACAAACTTCATCAGCATTTATTAATCCAACTACTGTTTATTGAATAATCCCTTTCTCTTCGCCCAATATAACCTCTGTGAAGCTTTTCAGTTCTATGTATAGCAGACTTGACCTACCAACAGCAGAGAGGACCAAAGTGACAAAAATCCTTTGACGTGTGAGCAAACTTTCTTCTCAGCCTCACTATTGGTCAGTCCCTGATCCCATTCAGATGTTGCCGGGGAGAGGGACCCTCCACCCAAAAACACAGACAGACAGACACACACACACACACACACACACACACACACACTCCCACACACTCCCTCCTCTGGTATTTTGTTAATTCCCACAGGAATGTATAGATTCTTGCCATCTCAATGTCGGACAGCAAATGTGTCAGCCCCTAGAGAGGATGCTATATTAACTTTTGCTAACAGCAGATGTAGCAAACATTACATTGTTATTTTTGTTAATCAACTTTACATTTTTGTGTGTACATTTTATGTATCACAGTTTGGTTGAAATCTAAAGTGCATACTAAATGTGTCCTTTTTGAACAACTTCAAGTATATTGAGTGTTATTTTAGAAATGCTTAAGCAAAATGTTAGGCTAATCGTAATATACTATATTTTAATACGCCTGTTGACATTGAACAACTTTATGTACCTTTTTCATATAGTTGTAATGTTGAGTAGTTTTTTGGGGTGAAAGAAAGGATGACCTAAATACCACATTTTGAGTATAGATATCATGCATTTAAAATGTAATGTTGTTTGGTCGATTAACAAAACATCATATTTTACAAACGTAAGCGTGAGGTATGCTTTAAATTTGACATTTGACACGTTTTATCTGATTTGATTTGATCAATTTATATAACAGGGTATCATCTGCATAACTACGTTAATTGAGTGTTTCCTAATAATATTGCCTAGAAGAAGTATCACCTGAATGAATAGGTCCAAGTACAGAACCCTGCGGGACTCCACAACTAACAGCACTAAGATCTAACAGTCTTTTATCTGATGCAATTATAACGTCTTTGTACTATGATGCACTTAAATATTCAAATTATTCATCATTATTAAGAAATCACCAAAAACAATTGCAATTGCTTTTTTAAGTATCTTAGAGAAAAAGGGAAGGTTTCATATCGGTCTATAGTTGTCTTTAACCTTTGGATCAAGACTTTTTAACAAGAGTTTTTACAGCTACTTTAAAGGATCCTGGTTGACTGTTAATAAAGACAGGTTGATCTTATCTAATAAATAAGTGTTAACTAAGGGTACAACTTATTTAATCAGGCTAATTGGTATGGGATCTAAGAGACTTGGAGAGGAAATAATTGGGGTGAGTGGAAGGTCGATATGAAAAAACAGTCTAAATATATATCAGGTTTCACAGCTGTTTCTGAGATTTCTATATTTTAAGGTTACTTTAACATTGAGCTTTTGGAAACACTAATTTTAAGTTTTCTCTATGT